TGAGAAGCTGCAGCTGCGCCAAACAGAGCCGAAGTGCTTTGCATGCAAGGCACACTCTTTTGAGCTTAGTAGTAGTACAATTATCTATTAATGTTTGGTTTTGCGAGAATGATTGAAGTCAACCAGGTTACAACTAATTTTTCATATGGTACTGTGAATATTAATCAAATTGTTCTTTGTAGATTCAATATTTTTATTGCATTTCTATTTCAAAAGTCATCAAATTATAACTTGGATAAATTCAATGTAATTTCTACATTGCATTAAAACTGAATACCTGCTTAATTGATAGTCTTTAAACAGAGGTTCAATAATATTTTAAGCTCGATTTATTGCTTCATTTAATCGCAATAGTAATCCTAGACATTAAGATCTCCTAGATCATCAAGATTAACAAAAGTTTAAAGACGGGTAAAAGCTCAAAGCCTCAAACACAGCTCCAGATCAATAAGAAAATAAACAAAGAAACTTGACACAATAATAATGTCATAGTCCCGTTTCTTTTTCGAAGGACTTCTATTCAAAGAAGAAGAGAGGATCTTGGTTCCACAAATATAAAGAACATGTTTTGTTACCATTTTATACCAGTTACTAGACTGGTATCTGGATAAAAGAACTATCATTTCAACTATAAATAGACATAGAAGAGTGGAAATTGGAGGCTACCTTTTACCATATCTGAAAGAATAATCAAATAACAAAATTAAAGCTTTTAGCCCGCCATGCCAATGGAGAACTTTATTTGTCTTGCCCGTTAGAAGTAACTACATCCACGTCACATAAAAGTAGAATGGTCATGATGAAAAAAAATCTTCACCATCTTCATTTAGAACCTGAATTTAAGTTTAACATTATGCATTGCACAAAAAAATATGGAGTACGAAGTTGGAATAAGAACAAAACAACTTACCTCACTGAAAGCCAAATCAAGGCGCTGGAAATCAGTCACAGTTCCCTCGTTGCTGTCACTACTATCACAATCAGAGTAATCTTCAAAATCTTCATTCTCCATCTGAAAATTATATTCTACAAGGTTATGCCTATTTAACTAGATCTTGCAACAAAGTTACTGGAATCAAATACCTCATTGAGACCCAAATCATGATCAGATTGAATATTAGCTGAATTAATGGAAGAGCTCTCGTCAACTTCCAAATAACCCTGTCAAATTTTGTAAAAAGCAAAGAGAAGAAAAAGATAACAATTTAGTAGGTGATATAATCTGTTATCTCAATGCTGAATTCTGCTCTAACATATGAACCGACCTCACCTAGATATTTTAATAGCATGAATAACATCTAAAAATTAACATATATAAAGAAAGGTGGAGAAAATCATACTCTTACTTCTCAATAATTAAATTACAACTCTTCTCCTTATTATATAAGAAACAACTAGGGCAAAATTACTTATAGCAATTACAACTTACCAAAGGAAACATAATTCAAGAAGTAAGAAAACATGACATAATAAGGAATGAATAAAACTAAACTAGGAAACTCTGAATTCCACACGCAACCTCAAGCTGAGTCATAGATGTTGAAAATGCCCAGTTTAGTATTCGAATCAGCGAAGCTACCCGGAGGTAGAGATTCAGTGAAGACATCAACGATTTGAAGATGAGTTGAAAAGTAAATAAAATAAATAATGTTTCTATTGAACTTTTCAAAGATAAAATATATGTCAATCTCAATGTGTTGTCGGCCGAAATTACGGAATTTTTTTTTCAAAAGAATTTAAATTTGAAAATAGTTTTAATATATAGGTGATTTTGATTTTGGAAATAATATTTTAATTTTGAAATAAATGAGACCAAATAGATCCCACATATTTGATGGTTTAAATGGTTGAGCGTAATACCGCAAGTAATACACTATCTTGAATGATAAACATATCATTTGTAGTAGGTTTAACCGCCTGAACTAAAGAGTTTGTGATATCTGTTTGATCTGCGAAATCTTTAATGTGTGAACGACAAATTCTCCTATTTAATATAAAAATTAGATAGAGTTTATTTTACTTGGGTTCTTAGTTCCTTATAGAGGCAAATCCCTATAGTTAATTACATCTTAAATGACCGGAGTCACTTAACAAATGTCTCGATTAAGATCAGTGGTTCTGTCTTCAAGAATTTAAATTTTAGTTTTCAAGACAGGATGTAGGAAAGCCGAAAGGGAGTGGCTCAAAATAGAAACAGTTATTTTCTAGAGTCATATGGAGTGAAAAAGTAGGGGATGTCACGGATCCGAGGAGAACCTCGGTGACTTCCCAACTATCCTAATGTTCGGTCTTATGTCTTAAAAGTGAAGTTATTTAATGTTTAATCCAGCCGATTCTATTATTTATGGCTTACACTCGCACGATACCCGATCGGGCAAATATCCTAAAAAGAGAGGATAATATATGATGTACAACACGGAAACCTCAGAATCCTAAAAATGTTAAGACTTATATTGCAAAATAGGGTTGGGCAAAAGCCTAAAAGACAGTGAGGATTCACGTTGAGCTAAACAGACTACCTCGAAGTCCTATGAGTTATGTTATTTATTCTACAGAAAGGTTTAGCGTTGCCTAAACAGACTACCTCGAAGCCTAAAAGGAGTGCAGTTAGGGAAATAAATAATAAAATGTACTGTAAAGGAAAAGAAAGTAAAACGTGCAATAAATAAAATAAATATATGTATCTGGGGTCTTTGTTGCTTCTAAAAATGGAATTAATATCGTAGGTAAAAGTAAACAAGTATAGTAGAGAATTTAGCAGGTGGGGCAAACATGCATTTATATATAAAAGAATAAATGACAAAGCATCATATGGAAAACTAAAAGTGACCCACAAATAAAAAAAAAAATAGTAGGAAACACACGGAAAGCCCGAAGAAAATCACAAGTGCCCCACAAAAAAAAACAGTAAGAAATGCACGGAAAATCGAAGAAAACCGTAAACATTCTGGTCGGGGTAGACTCAACTTAATTGTTCCCGAAGGACTACGAAGGCAACCATCGGTCATCCACATACATAAAGTCTGACATTCAACTAGAAAATTTCCAACAAGACGATCTTAGGAGGGCAATTCTTAGTCCAGTACAAGTAATTCACAAGTGTGTCATTTAGTTCAAGAGAATGGATCTCCTCTTGAATTACCTTTTTCTATTCTAAACTTTGTAGTGCTTCATGAACATACTTGGTATCCACACACTATTTAGATTAGATACAAAAGCTTTATAAGTAGATGATAACTTTCCATATTCAACATAATCATGGACAGAATAATTTGTGCAACTTTCCTTGTCTTTTCTACTAGATTCCACCTCCCTTGGAACTTTAGAAATATGTGAATTCAAGTTTGGTTATTAACAATCCTGTGATTAAATGTTGTATTTATCTTGCTCAAAGGATTTTTTTCCTCAAATTACACACATGAACTTCTTTGTTATCAATCTCAAGCTAGATGTTGTCAACTGGCGGAACTTGGAGGATAAGATGATTTGAGGGAAGTAAAATAGGTTGTGATGACTCTAGATCAGTGTGGGTATCCAGAGTTGTGTACGAAAGTGGATTAAGTTGTGATAGCTCTAGAATAGTGTCCTAAGTCTGATATTCACTCGGCGAAAGTGGATTAAGTTGTGATAACTCTAGAATAGTGTCCTAAGTCTGATATTCACTCGGACATTGTCCTTGAATAATAGATTTGGGATAGTAGAGTTGTTTTTCGAAAAGATAATATTCATGGAGTTCTAGTATTTTATTGTAATAGGAAAATATTAGCACTTATATCCCTTTTTATTATAAGCATACTAAGGAAGATATATTTGATGGATTTTGCGTCAAGCTTTGTGCGGGTTCAAATATTTTTTGGGGAAGATTGAATAAGGTCTGTCTAAGGTTATTTTTCTATCACAATATCGAGAGGGGATTTGAATCCAAAAACTCTGTTTTGTATTCTATTAATGAGATAGGTGGTTGTGAATGTGTCATTTCCCCATAGAAGTTTTTGGGACATGGTGAGAAAATCTTATAGACTTAGACACTCCGATGTGGTATATATTCTTCCCCTCAGCTATTCCATTTTATTGTGGAGTTTTAACACTAGAACTCACATGGATGATATCATTATTTGCAAAGTAGAGTCCTGGGACAGAGTCTTAGTATTTTTTTGTATTATCGATTTTGAGAATCTAAATTTTGAATTGAAAGAAAATTAAATAATTGGTTGTTTCAGAATTTTTCTTTATGAGGAATATTCAACTAGTTCCTGTGTGGTCATCAATAAAGGAGAAAAACCATCTGACTCCATTGGTGGTTTTCAATTTGGAGGTCCCCAAAAGTCAATATGGATGATAGAGAAAAATTGTGAGTGTTTGTACAAAGACACAATAAACATGATGAGTATATTTAACCAATTGGCATTATTCACACTGATACAACTCTGACTTTTTTTATTAATAAAGAGATAAAAATACAACATAATGAAAATTGGAATGACCCAGACAATGCCATATCAAACATAACTTTCAAAAGACTCCGCCACAATAGATTCAAGAACAAGGGAAGAGGATGGTGAAAAAGACATTAGCGTGTTTAGAGAATAACATTCCTTGAGAGGTATAGACCTTGATACAATTCAACACTGTCAATCACCTTCCCCAAATCCACCATTTGAAATTCACAATTAGAATGAAATTTAGTAACACAGTTCGTGTCATGAATAAACTTATTAATTGAAAGTAAGTTGCAATCTAAATGGGGAACATATAGCATAAAAGAGCTAAACATCTTTAGAGACTTTCACTTCACATTTCTCAACAATTCTAGAGTAAGATCATCGTCAAGTGTAACAAATTTCGAGTTGGTGAACCCTAGATATTTGGTGAGAGCATGAATCTCTCCAGTTATGCGATCAGAAACACTTAAATCTGTTATTCAAGGTCAAAATCTTCCATTGTTAACAAGATATGACATTATATCTTGGTGTATCATCAAGCTGGAAGGTCGCTTAATTATGCTTGAAAGAAGTACTTCAAAGCCACCAGTTGTTCCATGGTAAATGGGTTAGGGTTGGCCAACCCTTCAAAAGATATAGCAACACGTGCCTGCGACCTTAGTCTTTCCTTCCTTGCCCTATTTTTCAATCTGCAAATTTTCCATATAGTTTCCAGCACTTGCCCTTTGTGTGACCAAGTTTCTTGCAATGTTCAAACAAGGAAGGACTCTTCTTTGTCTTTGACTCATGGGAGGAGCTGTGTGTACAAGGCGAAGCTTTCAGTGCTAGATGAATCCACACTTCCTCTCATCATGAACTTCTTCCTACTTTCTTCTCTTCTAACTTCAACAAAATTTTCTCTGGTGGTAAGAGAGGCGTTATCGTCATAATTCTTCCTTGGACCTCATCTAAGTTCTTATTTAAACCCAATAATAACTTGATAAACATTTTCTTCTTTATTGTTGTTTTATATAACATAACATCCTGAGAGCACTTCCATATATAAGTATCATACATGTCTAACGGTAACCAGGACTTTGTAATTGTGTTGAAGTAGTGAGTAACATTTAACTAATCTTGTCGAAGTTCATGCAATTTTGTCTCATCTCAAACAATTCTACAGTGTTTTCGGCATTGGAATAAGTCTCACCAGTTGCTTTCCAAATATCTTGTGTTTGCGCAGAATTCCAAATCTTTTATTCAAAAACAACCTCCAGAGTAGAGCAGACATCTTCTTCATGTCGTAGTTTGTCACAAGCCCTATGTATGTTTAGGGCTGGAAAGAATTCCTGGCTGGTTATGCTGTAGGAGATGAGGAACTCCTGTGACTGTTCTGCTAACTCGAGAAAGATCAGCTGGGAAGGCAAGAAGACAACAGAGTACGGCTGACATCTGGGTTATTGATGGTAAAGCAGGAACAGAGAAGGACGTCTAGAAGGCTAACTGATAATTTGCCACTAAGAGAGATCTTATAGTTTTAGGATTAGAATAGCGCCCGCGGGGAAGCTCGAGAAAGGATTGCTTGCAGGGAAGGAGTGGAGCGCCTGCAGGGAAGGAACGGAGAGCCTGCTGCGAAGCGCAGAAAAAGGGCGCCTGCAGGGAATGAGCTAAGCAGTTACAGGGAAGCAGTGAAGCGCTTACTGGGAAGCAGATGGAAAGGTCGCCTGCAGGTAAGGAACGGAGCGCATGCTGGGAAGCAGAAGGAAAGGTCGCCTGCAGGGAATGAGCAGAGCGCCTTGTCACGGACTAACTTTCCTTTATTGGCAGGGCGTGACAGCCTGCTGAGAAGCGATCTTGTTGGAGGGCCTGCAGGGGCTGACGGCTATACGGAGAGGCTCCGGCGGAGGAAGAAAGGTATGTAACCAAGCTCTGATACCATTGAAAAAAAAGGCTTACTTTCCTTTTTGTGCTACTAAAGATCCTAATTGCTTATGATATGAATCAGATTTTGTTTTAATAGTGTTTCTGGAAGTCCAATACTTACTAAAATTATCTCCATCAACTAGTACATCCTCCAGAAAAAATAGAGTTATGTTTGTAGCATCATGTTTGAAATGTTGACTGCTGGTCAATTATATCAGATATGAATCAGATTTTGTTTTACTAGTGTTTCTGGAAGTCCAAGACTTACTAAAATTATCTCCATCAACTAGTATATCCTCCAGAAAAAATAGAGTTATGTTTGTAGCATCATGTTTGAAATATTGACTGCTGGTCAATTATATCATGAGAAGAATCAGCACGAATCTAAAATTTTGAAGAGTGGATTGGATTTTGTTAGAAAGAATGTGCTTGATAAATAAAAGCCTGCATAAGTAGATTTGGTTACTATCCCAATCACAATCATAGTCAGAGGAAAGTTTCTAAATTGTTGGCCAATCAAGCCCCCCTTTGCACATGGACCTATATCTGTATAACTCTAGAAAAACGAACCTTCATTAATTATAACTCCTATAAAAGACAAACATTTTTCCATTAAAATTTTTAACTAAGACGTGGTTGAAAATATTATACACATAACAAAATGCATAAATGCCTGTTTTTAAAAGTGCGGTATTTAAGCAACTCAAAACATACCAGATCTAACTTCATCCGCTTAATGGTTTCCTCAAGCTCAATTATGTGTTGGGTCAATGCCTGATAGTTATTGAAAGTATAATATTTTAGCATTCAACAAACAAGAACTAATAACAGTTTGACATTAAAAGGCAACAGAATCCATTCTTATACGAACCTCGTGGCGTTGCATTGCAACTGAACGCTTTAGCGCTTTTGCCTTTGTTAACAGATTTCTTGGCCTCAAGCAAATAGGTCTCTGGTAGTTCTTTCCACGATAATAGACAAGAGCGAACCCCTTTGGAACTCTTTCAATGGCCACTAATATTCCCCCACTTTCATATTCCAAAAATCGTGCTGTGTCTTCAACAAATGCAAGGGTTTTTTGCTTTGATATTAACTTCACAAGCTCTCTATGTTTCCAATGCAAGTGCATATTCTCAATGACTCCATCAAAAACTCCCCTGATACCTAGTAGATAAATTACAGAAAAGCAATAGATAAATTACAGAAAAGCAACCACCTTAGAAGTATGGATAATTTTTCTTTAAAACTTAAATAGAAAGCTTACCAAGTGGTAAATATGCCTTCATCCGTAAACCAATTCTACGGAATACGGATTTTTCTTCGTCAGTTATTGTCTCCTGGTCATCTGACGGATTGATAGGAATCATAGATGCTTCGATCTTTGCCAGAAGTTTCTCTGCTCTCAACTTTTTGACTTGGGCCTGCTCCATTTTAGGAAAAAATGCGCTTAAAAATGGAATTATAGATTGACTTGAGAAGATGTGATAGCCTGAACTTAAAGCACTTCTTATACTCTGAAAAGAATTCTGAAAGATAAACATTTTCTAACTGAAATAAAATGAAACATAACCTTAACTATAAGTTCTTAAAAATAAAGGTATAAGAGAAACTAAAATATCTACCATATTGGCAATAGCCTACAGAGAACACTACTGTGGTCAATGCTTTCAGACATATAACAACAAAATGAGGATATTCATGCAATTTTGAAACCTATACTCATAGGAAGTATAAATCATGTGCATTGATGATGCTTTCGTTCTTTTATTCAGTTTTCTAGTTAATTTTATGTAAAACATGATCACAATAATAACTCCATTAAAAGTGGAAAGTATTCACTATTATCGAGACTAGATCCATGCTGCAACATTTTGACTCAGCCCATCGAATTATTGGTTTGGTTGAGTCCAAGTCTCCGTTTCAACAAAAATATCAAGTTCTCTACTTTTAAGTAAATTTTGTGGCTGATATACTGTTCAAGTCCCTCTCAGTTTATATCTCGACGCTATGGATGGTTACCATTACAAGGGAATCCTTTGTTCAGTTATGGGTCATTACTTGTTATAGTTACTATTACAAGGGAACCTTTCTATTTGTTGAATTGGCCAAGACTGCACATGGGTTGTGGTGGATTCACTACTGTGGCTCTTTCCTCCTCTGACTCCTATGGTCATAACGCCGTAGCACATACAAATTTGTTATGTTCTGTGAAAAACCTGAGAGCTGCTTTGCTGTGGAAATTTGAAAACTTCCCTGAATTCATGTATGAAATATTGAAACCTGATATGTTGAATTAGATCTTAATGGAATATAAAAGAGTACTGTGCATTAGATTTCTAGGTTATAAATAAAAGCCCTGGGAATGTTAATGAATGATTCATAAAACTCAAAATTCCCTCTCAACACTTGTCTGATTAAAAATGTTGATTGTTCAAGCAAATTAGAAATCTCAAATGACTACTTCTCGTCAATAATTCTCCTTCTACTGATGCGAGACTTAGATTAATACTTTGGCGATCCTTTTTGTCCATCATTTTTCCTTCAGTGATTGGTGTGAGTACGTGATCAAAATTTTACCAGGTGTTAAGACATTTCAAATTCCATTTTTTGATCCAAATCTCGATAGTTGCTGATTTTATATATGCTCCAACTTTTCAGAAAATATTTCAAATTTTAACCATTCCATTATTGTTTGGAATGAAAAAAAAAATAACATTTTTATTATTTTGCATCAAATGTTACTTTTTTTTTTTTTGACTAAAATAACTTGAAAATTATATTCTTTTGTGTATTTCATTGTGTATCATATTCTAGGTTGCATTAGTAAACTCTAGACCCTTAAGTGTCTTAAATCAAATATGTACAATTTATTCCGAATATAAAGATAACTAGATGGAAGTAAGGGATGTAGAAAATAATAAGAAAATTAGTTAAATTCAAAGCAAGAAGCAGGTTAAGAAGAAACTAGGAAAATACGCTAACGCAAGTTCCACCTTATACTAGAAAGGCAAACATGCTCCCGAATTATATCAGACCACAGATAATGGAACAAAAAATTAAGAAAAAAGCAAAAGACCTTCGTAAGAATGTAGCAGAAAATTTTATGATGAGAGAAAATTTGTGCAGATGACGAGAATAAGATCAAAACCAGGAGCTTTTAAGGGGGTTTGCATACAAAATTTTGTTCAAACCATAAAACCTTGAAAACAAATTTTACAAAATTGTACACAGGCTAGCGTTGAGGCCATCAATTGCACTGGTTTTCATATCACATATCCACCCCACAACTAACTTCACATCAAAGACCCCTGCCCAGAATGGTGAGGATTCTTTCACAACAGATTAAAAGTTATTATATAAAAAGAGCTGGTAACACTTATTGAGAAAAAGATAATGAAAAACATACCTAAATGATATGAGCTTGTAATATACAAGATAATTGTTGCAACAATATGAAAGATTAAAATATATAATTAGGATGAAATGAAAAAGAAAAAGGGTCACTGAAGTAACATGGATGGGTATTGTACAAAAGTATTTAAGCAAAATACATTTAAAACCTCAACCAATGCTCACAAGGATGTATGAAGAAGAGGATTCATAGTCAATCTATATACTTCAATGTTTTCTTTTTTTTTTTGTCAACCCCAAAATTTACAGAGCGGAGTTATTATGATATGACTGAGCCCAAAACAACGGAAACAACTTTAAATTTCTTGTCAATTGAACAAGTTGATACTCACGACACCGCATAACTTGGACAAGGCTAATCATGGTGATTGTGCATTGATAAAGCCCCTCGTAGGGAGGAGGTTGGATACTTTTTAGTAATTATGTTTAATGTTTTGCAAAAATATTACTTTGCAATAGATGGTACTAATTGCTAGAATTTTTAAGAAGATTTAATTTTAGTATCTTCCATTATTAGTATTTTATTTTTGTTATGATTCATACTTAATGGTATGTCATTATCTTCGTTTCTTTCTTTTATTATGGGGAGTTATGTTTGACTTTATTTCTTTTCTAATGGGAGTCATTCCCCTCTATTTACCTTGTAATTATTTTAAAAGAAATTGAGAAGGAATAACTATTTTAATTATCCGAAAACCTACATGGTATCATAGCAGACTATCCCTTCAAAACTGCATTGAATACAGCTAATCGTTCACGAGTTCCGCTCACAAGAGTCGTCGCGTTGTGTCGCATTGCTTCTGCTCTTCCAAGGTTTGCCCGATACCATCGCCTTCATGAACAACCACATCGTGATATACTCGTGATCCAACGACTGAATAAGTGGAGGTCAGTGACCCATCTCCTAGCAATGCAGTCACGATTAGAGCCATCACGATCACAGCATTTGAAAGATTTAGATAGCTTCCGCATGGTTTTGATGTCGCAACTTTTTCACGATCCTGTCATCAAGGTTCTAGACCAACCACGACATACAAGATTTCGGCTACTACTTTTTGTCTCCCTTTTTTGACATCAAAAGCTGCTTCTCAGTATGAGGCTTCTTATAGGCAAAGACTTTTGCCCCCACCTCTGAGTTCTTCTCTTCTGCAATTTTTTTTTTTGGGTAGCAACTTCTTCTCCGTTGGTTTCTTCTTGGTCTTTACCACCATTAGAAATTGTAATTTGAGGAAAGAGTACTTCTTTCCATTCCTCTAGTTTCCACAAAGAATCATTTCGTTCCCAAGTTTCGTGAACTGGAGAATTGAAATGAATCTGTTGAAACTAAGAATAATACGGAATAAAGTGAAATACTTGATTGTTTCATTGATATGAACGGAAGTATAAATAAACCTTACAAGAATCTTATAATAGGAAAAATAATAAAAAAAATGATATAAGAGAAAATATATATCACCTGATATCTCCAATAATTAATTCATATTAATTATTAGGAGATATAAGAAATAACATAAAATAGGAAAATAAATGTTTCCTAATCCAAGGAAATAAATATAAAATATGAAAGGAAATATCTCCTTATATTAAGGAAATAATTTATTCCTCGTAATTTCTTATAAGACTAAATTATTTCTTATTATAATTCATAACAAGAAAGACAATAAATCTTGTAATTTAAATTAGATATTTCAACACTCCCCCTCAAGTTGACATATAGATATCTTTCAAAGCCAGCTTGCACACTAAACCGTCAAATTGGTTTTTGTGAAGACTTTTTGTTAGAATATCTGTTGCTTGGTCGTTAGAAGAAACCTTGGTAATGGACTAGAAAATTGCCAAAAATCAACCTCTCCATCTGTATTATACTCCTGAAGTGGATTTTTATGAAAGAAGGAAATTTTTTTCCATTAATATCACATCCATACTAATGTAAGTTTTTTTGTGACATAATTAAAGCATTTGTACTCTTTTTGTTTGAAGCATATCCAAAGAAAATATATTTTTCAGATTTTGGATCCAACTTTGATCGAAATTTATCCAGAATATGAACAAAACATGTGCATCAAAAAATTTTTAAAGGAATATTTGAAGATATTCATAGAATTGAAGAACTGTTTTTCGGTTTTTGAAGAACTGTTTTTCAGTTTGTTTAGAGGAGTTGTATATTGTAAAATTGGAGTTGGCATTCGGTTTATTAAATATGATGTTGTTAAAACAGCATGCCCCCATAAGTATAGGAACATTCATTAAAAGCATAATAGCCCGAGCAACCTTAAGTAAATTTCTATTTTTTCTCTCAGCAATTCAATTTTGTTGTGGACTGTCACGACAACTAGATTGATGAATTATGTCTTTGTTTATCAAAAACTCTCCTAAACATTTATTAAAGTATTCAGTTCCATTGTCGGATCTAAGGATGTCTACTAAGGATGATCTAAGGATGTCTATTCTAGTTTCAAATTGAGTTTCAATCATGCTGTAAAAATCTTCAAAGAGTTTTTAAACTTCTGATTTTTTTTATATAATAAATTCATTATATTCTGGTGTAATTGTCAATAAAAGTCAGAAATCCCCTTTTCCTAGATAATGTTTTGACTTTTGAAGGTCCCGAAATATCACTATGGATCATAAAAAAAGATTTTGAAGGATATTATGATTTTGGAGCAAAATTTATGCAATGACTTTTTGTCAAATAACACGTTTCACATTGAAGTAAAGCACAATTAACACCCTTAAACAAATTAGGAAATAAATGTCTTAAATAAGAAAAACTTGGATGACCTGGTCTAAGATGCAATTCCATTATTTTTTCTATTGCAGGGTTCAAACCTATACTGTTGTAAGCTTGAACCTCTTTTCACTTGGAACGGTCTCCTCAAAGTAGTAAAGTCCTATCTTTTTAGCTCTCCCAATCATCATCCCCGACTTCCGGTCCTGAAAAACACAAAAAGATTCACAGAAAATTACACGGCAGTTAGAATCCTTTGAAAGTCTGCTGACGGATAGAAGG